AAAAAAAAAAAAGATGACCGGTAAGGGGATCTTAACCCTTGACTTGGTGTTATCAGCACTACACTCTCCCGAGTGAGCCACGGGCCGGCCCCTCTCCTGTTTTTTTTTTACTGGAGATATTTTATCAAAGTTTTGTAACTTCTTGTGCCATGGATCTTTTTGGAAGTATGGTTAATTGTGAAAATGATTTCCTTAGTAGTGGTTAATGTGGTTTGTTGCCTACGTTCATAATGAAAAAAAGTTAAATTTCAGATAGCAGAATTTGTATTTTTTCTTTTTTCTACTTTCCGTACTCCATTTATCAGTAGACTTTTAAAAAATTTATACAATTGATGAAACACATGAGTTTCTCCATTTTCAGTAGTGTCCATTACCCTTTTGCATTTGAAAGTGGGGGCCAAAAGTGGAATTAATTTAGGTCTGTCTAGCTCCAAACTAAGCTTCTAAGCCATGCTGCCAAAGTCTGTTTTACCATCACGGCTTAGAAACTGGCTTTATATTGTCCCTCAACACTCCACTCCTCTTGAATGACCTTACGGAGGCCACCAAACAACATGCATTTGGTGCACTGAACAAATATGCGGTTAGAAGTCTTAAAGGATTGCCTTTCAAAATTATCGATTGAGGCAGGGACTTTGGGGCAAGGTTGGGATTAGAATTTCCCAATGATGCAGTTGTTGGTGTTGCTTGATTTTGTTCTCCCCTCTTCCCAGGGTTTAGATGTAGATTCTCTGGTGATTGAGCATATCCAGGTGAACAAAGCACCCAAGATGCGCCGCCGTACTTACAGAGCTCATGGTCGGATTAACCCATACATGAGCTCCCCTTGCCACATCGAGATGATCCTTACTGAAAAGGAACAAATCGTTCCCAAACCAGAAGAGGAGGTTGCACAGAAGAAAAAGGTAAATTACTTAGTAGTTGCTTACTTTTGTTAGTGTGTAATACTAGAAAGATTTGTGGTTGCTGTGATGACTATCTTAGGACACCTTTGGAATAACCATGAAAGAAAACTATTCTGAGCAACCTTTTCACTCATTTTGGCCTTTGTGAGTCTTAATTTAATTTGTTTCTGGACTAATAATAGATTATAACTTTGTATTCACTACATCAGACCCATAGGACCTATCTGCTAGTGGCCCCACTTCAAACACGTCTCAAAATGGACGCTTCCCTCTGCTCTCTCCCAAAAATAATTCTAATAAGCTTGTGATTAGTAAATGATCAAGCTAGGAACCTGAGAGTGATTCTGTACTCTTCCCTTCACACCGACTGAATTTTAACTTCGGTTGATTTTATCACAGTTATTATCCACGGTCCTTGCTCCCTCCAGTCCTTACCAACTGGACTTCCTGTTTCTGTTGTTCAGTGTAAATTCAAATCTTCCAAGGTGTAATGTGGGTTTCTCTAAGAAACTTAACGATTCTTTTATTCTTTCCCCAGATATCCCAGAAGAAACTGAAGAAACAAAAACTTATGGCTCGAGAATAAATTCAGAATAAAATAAATATAAATAAAAGAGTGTTGGTTTTATTACTAAGCATATTTCAAGCAAGTATCTTCACAAGATGGATCAAGAGTTTTCTTATGGTTAGAATTAGAAAGGTTTTTTCTTTACCCCTTTGCTTTTTTTTTTTTTTTTTTTTTTGTGGCTGCTGGCCAGTGCAGGGATCTGAACCCTTCATCTTTGGTGTTAATTAGCACCATGCTCTCCCAGTTGAGTAACTGGCCAGCCCTTGGCATTGTTTGTGATTCATAAACATGCTGGGGTTTTTCTTGGTTTTTTGTTTTCGTTTTTGTGCTACTTACAAATGGTCCCAGTAGGTATTTGTGTAGACTCGTATTCATTTCTCTTGGGTGTGTATATACATATATATTCAAGAGTGGAATTGCTATTTCATGTGGTAACTTCAATAAACATTTGAGGAACTGCCAGACATTTCCAAAGAGGCTACACAGTTTACATTCCAACCAGCAGTGTGTATGGGGGTTCCACTTTCTCCACATTCTCGCCAACACTTCTGTACAGTTACAGCCATTCTAGTGGGTGTGGAGAACCCTTTCTTCTAAGCAACTCATGCCTAAAGTCAACTGTAATGTCACCCCTGCCCTTAAATATAACACTGGCAGAGTGAATATTAGCGTAACCACACTGCGAGGGAAAACACCTGCCGCACGCAAGTGCTGTGACCTTCCCTGTGGGTGCTAAGGCACTGGCACAGAAGTTAGTTCCTGAACCTGCTGAATGTTTCTTCCGCGTGCCGGGGCACGGAGTAGCGCAAGCGAGCTTCGGTCCGCAGCCTAGGAAGCTTTAGGCTTAGGCTTCCGCGCCGGAAGTCCTGCTGAGTCCCTGCTCGGCGTCGCCGTGACGCTCTCTGCGTCCTCAAGCTGACGCAAGCGCGCCTTTGTCGGCCCCCTTCTGGAGGCGCCCATTGGCTGGGCTGCCGAGCGTCCCTCCCTCCGGAAGTGCGGCCATTGCCATTTGGGTGTCGCGGTCGCAGGTGAGCCGAGCTGGGGTGGGCCCGGGCAGGCGGCCGGGGATTCAGGCCGGGCGTGGGCTCTGGCCTCGGCGCTCCTGCGGCGTCTTGGAGCTGCTCGGCAGCCTGCAGCCCAGCCGCGCTCACGGAGGTGGTCTTCCTGCGCTCCCACGGTACGCCCCGCTGCCGGACGCGCGCCGCCGCCCGGCCTCCATGCTGCGCCCGCCTCTCCCTCC